ATGATTTAGATGATGAATGGACAGTTCTTAACTATATAGTGCTAATATTGTCTAGTTAGTATCTATTTAATCATCAATGAACTAAGAATTCACCAAGGTATAAACACAATGACAAAGGAATTCAAAGAAGCCTTTTATTTTCATTGCACATCTTTTGTTTATTAGGTATTGTCTATGCCTCATTGAATTCTCAGTGCATAACATAGTTGACAATAAATTATGTTAGGCACCAAATAGTSMAGAATTGCTTCACACTTTTGTGGCSTGCACTCTATTYTAAGCTATAGTGAAACATATTGAAAACAYCTAGGATCATARCCCATTGACTATAGCAATTACACCTGCTGACACACAAATTACATRAATGTAGCTATAGCTCASTCAAAAATCATCTAATGTTGTATTGTATTGYTGTTYCTTTTTGCAAATAGWGCAAAATATCACTCTTACAACGACTTCCAGTACTGTGCAAGAAAACAGATTGATTTCAGTCATACACAACCCACTCAAAACAACATCTACTTATATYAGACATCAATCATTTTACGCTCATAAAAATGGAGATAGCTCATGACTCATCAAAGTAGGAGGACAATTTTTCAAAGGCATCTCAGTATTAAAGCTTGTTTATTGTGATTACCTGTAGCAAGGTGACACACACAGTATCTCTCGGCTAATTTAGGAGCCTAAACGACRAGAAATAAAGAACAGACATTACAATATCAAACCCATTACCGGTTAAAAACCAAGCAAGTTTTCAGCTCAAAGGTCAAATACATGCACTCTATAACTGAATCTCTATTATAAATTCTACATAAGAGCAAAGACTAACAACCTATAATATACAAAAGATAAGTATTTAATAAAGTAAAAAATACAGTATTTCCGGCAATCGGTATTGTTTATTGTTGTGTAGTTTMTACCTGTGTTCCTTTCCCCGACCCTGGAGGACCAAGCAAGATCGCTCGTACTCCTCGCTCRCATGAYTCYGCTTTTTTCACCATCTCATCCAGCTGAGCTTTAGCTTTGTCATCGCTACCRGGATCAGTTTTAAATACGGTACCTCGCTGGCTAATTGGAGGAGCCATTTTAATTGTGGATCAGGAAAGAAGAAGCCGGCAAGTCAAACCATACAAAACAGCTCCCAGGCCGATCGACGAAATCCACGTTGTGACATACCCACTACGCATGACAGAGTTTCTTTACCAAACATGGAAATATGAAATGGAATGGAGTGGAGTGCTGGATCGGTTTATCATTTGAATAACATAATTTTCTCATTATCAGACAATATCTTATTTAGGAGGATTGCATTATTTTTTTTGTTATTAATAGAGACAGTGAAAAAAGATCAAAACACATAAAAAAGCACAACGATACAGTACAAAATATTCTCAACGACATACTATATTTACCCCTGTCCGTTCCGTAGATTTTCGATTTTCGAAAATGCATAATATCTTTACAATAAGGACAATTTATCTCATTATCTCCAATATCTCCAAAAGTGGATGCCTTATTATGATATGTGCTCACGGGGGTCCTGTGGTAGGAATGTTTGAGCAGGTGCGAATGGTATTCCTGTGTTGAATGCAGGTGCGTGTGGGCTTCCTGTGATGGGTGTGGTCTAAAGCTACAGTAATATTGTCTAGTTTAAGTAGAGATTAATTGTACATATTTCAAGTTGTTGACTTCCATAACTCATTATTTATATTTGGTTAGGTTTAGCGCCTTGACGGACTAAAACGTCTTCCTACCGCGAGTTCAAACATAAAGTGAAATGGAGTAAGGTCATTTTAATGTATGTTGTCATGGCGACGGGGTGGTAGTAAATTTATTTTACTGACTGGTGTCTCAAACCAAGTATAGTTCCAACATCTGTCTCCTGTGCGTAACAATACGACAAGTTTCGTCTGCTAGTTCGTTATGTATAGGGATTAGAAGTGTTTACGCGTGCATTGCTAAGACGCGTACCATCGTTTTGAAGGATGGCACGTGAAATGACTTTGAGCGCAACGGCCACAGCATGACGAGAGTGGGAGATTTTAGAAAAAATCATCAAGTAGCTTGTACACCTGTACTGAACGCACAACAGAGACCTGACAACGGAAGTTGTGTAAAGACACCTTTCATTTTAGTTATTAAATGAAATATTGCTTTCTCTTGATAAGGAAAGAAATTCTCATTACTTTAAACGCTAATGAAATATCATAGTATTGTGATAAAATGAACAGAGCTTAGTAAAGAGAATTGATAATTTGATCAGTGACATTAACAGATTAAGTATGTTTAGCCTATCAGTGCGGTAATGTACACAATAGCGCTCGATTTGACAACAGCATCCGTTTTGATCAGCACATGGAATATCGACAAAATACTTCACTTAAATACTCCAGCAACCTAACTGTACAGATCAGTGCAGACCTTGATCCGGTCTACATAACGACGCGAATCYATTGGCAATCTTGAATATCTAGACATAAAGCAAGAAACATAAAGTCTATAGCGAGCATGAACGGTCAGGGAATTGCCAAGAGACATTCTTTCCCCCTTCGCACATATTCTTGGCATGGAATTAGAAGAAACCACATCGCAATTGAAAACGGTGACGACCCGCTAAACCCATACAAAGTCAGGAATGCCCCGGTTGTGACATCCGAAGGAACGCTTGAGGAGCGGGAAACAAGGCTTGAGGAAGCCCTGCTATGGATACGAAAAGAACTAGTAAGTTATTACACGAGAAATGAGCTTTAAATGAAAAGAAAATAATGGAAAAAAAAACGCGTCGTGTTCACGACTTTTCAATTGCTAAGCGCGCGCCAAAAAGCGTATATCTTTATCAACAATTTGTCACATTGTAAATTCTACGATTATAAGCAATCTCTTCTCCGAAAAAGGAATATTTTGGACTATCTACGACTCTATTAATTTGCACTATGTATTTTTTCATTTCTGSGGATCTTTTTATAAACCAAAATACTTGATAGGTATCAAGAGAGAAAAATCCTCCCCAAACCGCTGGAGATTTCATTTTTTTAATATTCAGAAAGCGTTTCGTTATGTTAAACACATTTAGGGATCTTTTGAAACTTAAAAATTTGTTATTGTTATGAGGGCTAAGGTTTGGGTTATTGCATTGTTTTCAGTCAATGGGGAATTTGAATAAAATGACAGCTGCAKCTTTCAMTGACAGTATTGTCACTCTTTGAGTCTTCTGGTAACCATTTTTCRTCAAAAACACTCAATTTCAAAAAGCSTTTTCGCGGAATTAGACCTAATATTAACTAGAATAAGCGAATAAAGTCGTTTGCTTGGAGATTGTTCCGTGTAATGCCCTAAGCACTACAACAGACTAATCAAAAAGTGCGATTTCTATCGCAAATAATCCTCGTACTTACAGAATTGCAAAATCGCATCGTTGAACTTATCAGGAAAAATAATACCTCAAAATATAATGAATTTACAAATTTCACAAAATGAGTGCCCTTTCATTAGATTATCTTTTGAAAAGATCTAAAATAAGATCGCAAAATTTTGCATAATTTGTATTTTCCATCAAGCTGGCACTTCCGCATCATACCAAGATTAGTTGGATGCACACTGCTAGGAAAACAGCTATATATATACATGAGTGAGTGAGTCACAGTAGTTTCGTGATCTTTCTAACCAACATATGAACGCGACGTGTGATCAAGACGAAAACGGCTTCCATGTCATCAAACCACAATCTACAAGGTTGAAACACCTGACAAAGGCCAAGAAAAATAAACTATTTTACTCCAAAAAAACTAGCGTTTTTTAGTGCTCAAAAYAAAACAAGCCATTTAGCTCRGAAGAGAGGTTGTTTTCGAGTGGTGTTCGAGTGTAGTAACCAAAATATTGTATCCTTTTGGTATGATGAAGTCCATTTGACAAGCAACAATAAAAGCAGCTTTTTATGTTTGATCTCCTTGAGTGTATTGAATTACTAAGGGTAGACTTTATCTCCAATGACTGAATCCAAATATTTTGGATTAACATTATCGAGCTTGAATTCTGAAAGGCTTTTATGACAGGTTACAAGGTAAATATAGACGACAGTTGCCTCAAGAAGATTTAGTAGGATTTCGCTTTGTAAACGAACGATTACATAGGCTTCAGTTATGACAAGAAAGATGTTCAACCATTTCATTGATTGTCATTATGATTTCTAATTCCAAGTGACTTGGATAATAAGACTATATTGTTATTGCGCACATATCGAGTTATGATGACGCGAATAAACTAATTAGTAATTATGAATAGCTCCGTGATGCAATTCAGTTACAATTCTTAAAATTCCTGTACAAGCCGAAATAGCCTTGTTCCAAGGATAGAAAACATCTGGATAAGTCAATAAATTTACACATAGATTCGAGCCTAAGCCACGCTTGAACTGTGGAATTTTGGGAATAGACAGTACATCAAAACGAAATGAGACGCGCGCGTTATGACAGTCATCACAAGAGCGCGGGAACCTCGAGACCAATACTCATGATGGAAAAGACAGTATTGAAAGCCTTTGGTTAGCGAATATTGCCTTCGATAGTCAATATCCATAGTGCCTTTCGGTCGTATATCCCTCAATCTGTCCGTCAAAATATTCCCATCAAGCCATACATTCATCAAAGCATCTGTACCTAACCTAATCAGAATAAAAGCTAAGAAACGCTAAGAGAACGATGAAAACAAGTTAGTCAGCAAAACGTTTCCTTGTAGTTAGCTTAGCTTTCGTAAGGAGCAAGGGAGGTCACTGAGGGTGGTCGCGGTCAGTGTTTGTAACGTCCTCGCTGCCTCTTTCACCTCCTTTCAATATAGACTAAGGTCTAACGTCCTTATCCGTAAAGACTCAAGAACATAGTTAACAATGCTAACCAAACGAATTAACTTTGACAAGGTACGATCAACACTGAACAAGGAAATAACTTGGTACTCTTATTAAG